TGTTGTTTTTCTTTTAAGAGCCTGCACTGGAAGCTGATAGCCAGGAACTGGTTCAGTTGAAGACTGCGTGTGAGTGTGGAGATGGTCCTGCTGTGAAGAGGATCTGCCTGCCAAATCCAGAGCCTGGGAAACTGCCAGAAGAAGGTAGGCAATCTATTAAGCATGCAAATAGCAGGGTGTCTGTTTGTACAGTATTATATTTTTAATAACACAGAGGTAATAATACTGCCTCTTTAATAATAAGAGTTCTCTTTCTCTCTCTCCTCTCTCTCTCTCTTTTATTTTTTATTTATTTTTTTTGAGACAGAGTCTCATTCTGTCACCCAGCCTGGAGTACAGCTGCCTGATCTTGGAGGTCACTGCAGTCACGCCTCACAGGCTCAAACAATTCTGTCTCAGCCTCCGGAGTAGCTGGGACTGCAGGCACACGCCACCACGCCTTGCTAATTTTTGTATTTTAGGTAGAGACAGGGGTTTCAGCATATTTTTCAGGCAGATGTTGAACTTCTGACCTCAGGTATTCCGTCCACCTTGGGCTTCCAGAGTCCAGCTATTACAGGCATAAGCCACTGTGTCTGGCCAGTAATACAGTTCTTCCATAAAGTTTATTTGAAATGTAGTTCAGGCGTCAGCAACCGACTTATATACTGTCATATAGAAACAAACTGAGTCAAAGCCCTATTAAGTTACAGCTTTTGAGACTAAGTCCTTAAATCAATAGCTTATAATTTTCAGATGCTTTTGTAAAGGTCTGCTTTTGACAAATACACAATACATTTGTAACGCACATCAGTTTCTTTGAAATATGCTGAAGCATTGATATAGGTTCTAATACCAGCTCTTAAAACATTTGTGAGATTCTGGGTGAATTCTTTAAGTTCTAAAGCTGTCTTTGGTCTTAAAAATAATGAGTTTAGGCCGGGCGCGGTGGCTCAAGCCTGTAATCCCAGCACTTTGGGAGGCCGAGGCGGGTGGATCACGAGGTCAAGAGATCGAGACCATCCTGGTCAACATGGTGAAACCCCGTCTCTAATAAAAATCCAAAAAATTTATCTGGGCATGGTGGCGTGTGCCTGTAATCCCAGCTACTCAGGAGGCGGAGGCAGGAGAATTGCCTGAACCCAGGAGGCAGAGGTTGCGGTGAGCCGAGATCGCGCCATTGCACTCCAGCCTGGGTAACAAGAGCGAAACTCCGTCTCAAAAAAAAAAAAAAATGAGTTTAAGTAAGATACTTTGATATTTTCCATTGTGGTTTTTTCATACTCTGATCCTGTTGGGTAGAATAGATAGGATACGGAGATCATCTGCTGTGCATGATTTGTTTACCCTAAATCATCAAACCCTGATCTGACTCATCTTAAAACATGTGAATTGAGATTTCATTGCTATTAAGAAAGTTAGTGGGCACCCTGCTTCATGTTTGTTTTTCTGTGTTGAGACCTGAATGCCTACTCTTAGATTCTGTATAATTCTGAATTCTCTTAATTTTTTGTTTGTTTGTTTTTGAGACACAACTTTACTCTGTAACCCATGCTGGAGTGCAGTGGTGCGATTTCAGCTTACTGTAATCTCTGCCTTTCAGGCTCAAGTAATACTCCCACCTCAGCCTCTTGAGTGGCTGGAACTAGAAGCATAAGCCACCATGCCTGACTAATTTTGTCTTCTTTTTTTGAAAAAAATTTTTATTTATGTATTTATTTTTAAAAATTATTTTATTGTATTTTAGGTTTTGGGGTACATGTGAAGAACATGCAAGATTGTTGCATAGGTACACACGTGGCAGTGTGATTTGCTGCCTTCCTCCCCATCACCTATATCTGGCATTTCTCCCCATGCTATCTCTCCCCAACTCCCCACCCCCCACTGTCCCTCCCCTATTTCCTCCAAACAGACCCCAGTGTGTAGTGCTCCCCTCCCCGTTTCCATGTGTTCTCATCGTTCAACATCCACCTATGAGTGAGAACATGCAGTGTTTGATTTTCTGCTCTTGTGTCAGTTTGCTGAAAATGATGGTTTCCAGGTTCATCCATGTCCCTACAAAGGACATGAACTCATCATTTTTTTATGGCTGCATAATATTACATGGTGTATGTGTGCCACATTTTCCCTGTCCAGTCTATCATCGATGGGCATTTGGGTTGGTTCCAGGTCTTTGCTATTGTAAACAGTGCTGCAATGAACATTCGTGTGCACGTGTCCTTGTAGTAGAATGATTTATAATCCTTTGGATATATACCCAGTAATGGGATTGCTGGGTCAAATGGAATTTCTATTTCTAGGTCCTTGAGGAATTTGTCACACTGTCTTCCACAATGGTTGAACTAATTTACACTCCCACCAACAGTGTAAAAGTGTTCCTATTTCTCCACATCCTCTCCAGCATCTGTTGTCTCCAGATTTTTTAATGATCGCCATTCTACCTGGCATGAGATGGTATCTCAATGTGGTTTTGATTTGCATTTCTCTGATGACCAGTGATGATGAGCATTTTTTCATATGTTTGTTGGCCTCATGTATGTCTTCTTTTGCAAAGTATCTGTTCATATCCTTTGCCCACTTTTGAATGGGATTATTTGTTTTTTTCTTGTAAATCTGTTTTAGTTCTTTGTAAATTCTGGATATCAGCCCTTTGTCAGTTGGGTAAACTGCAAAAATTTTTTCCCATTCTGCTGGCTGCCGATTCACTCTAATGACTGTTTCTTTTGCCGTGCAGAAGCTGTGGAGTTTGATTAGGTCCCATTTGTCTATTTTGGCTTTTGTTGCCAGTGCTTTTGGTGTTTTGGTCATGAAGTCCTTGCCGATGCCTATGTCCTGAATGGTTTTGCCTAGATTTTCTTCTAGGGTTTTTATGGTGTTAGGTTTTATATTTAAGTCTTTAATCCATCTGGAGTTAATTTTAGTGTAAGGTGTCAGGAAGGGGTCCAGTTTCTGCTTTCTGCACATGGCCAGCCAGTTTTCCCAACACCATTTATTAAACAGGGAATCCTTTCGCCACTGCTTGTTTTTGTCAGGTTTGTCAAAGATCAGATGGTTGTAGATAAGTTGTGTTGCCTCCGAGGCCTCTGTTCTGTTCCATTGGTCTATATCTCTGTTTTGGCACCAGTACCAAACCAGTACCATACTGTTTTGATTACTGTAGCCTTGTAGTAAGTTTGCTAGTGTGATGCCTCCTGCTTTGTTCTTTTTGCTTAGAATTGACTTGGCTATGCGGGCTCTCTTTTGGTTCCATATGAAGTTTAAGGTGTTTTTTTCCAGTTCTGTGAAGAAGGTCATTGGTAGCTTGATGGGGATAGCGTTGAATCTGTAAATTACTTTGGGCAGTATGGCCATTTACACGATATTGATTCTTCCTAACCATGAACATGGAATGTTTCTCCATCTGTGTGTGTCCTCTCTTATTTCGTTGAGCAGTGACTTGTAGTTCTCCTTGAAGAGGTCCTTTACGTTCCTTGTTAGTTGTATTCCTAGGTATTTTATTCTCTTTGTGGCAATTGTGAATGGCAGTTCATTCTTGATTTGGCTTTCTTTAAGTCTGTTATTGGTGTATAGGAATACTTGTTATTTTTGCACATTGATTTTGTATCCTGAGACTTTGCTGAAGTTGCTTATCAGTTCAACCGTTGTGGAAGACAGTGTGGCAATTCCTCAATGACCTAAAAATAGAAATCCCATTTGACCCAGCAATCCCATTACTGGGTATATATCCAAAGGATTATAAATCGTTCTACTATAAGGACACATGCACACGAATGTTCATTGCAGCACTGTTTACAATAGCAAAGACCTGGAACCAACCCAAATGCCCATCGATGATAGACTGGACAGGGAAAATGTGGTACATATACACCATGGAATATTATGCAGCCATCAAAAATGATGAGTTCGTGTCCTTTGTAGGGACATGGATGAACCTGGAAACCATCATTCTCAGCAAACTGACACAAGAGCAGAAAATCAAACACTGCATGTTCTCACTCACAGGCGGGTGTTGAACAATGAGAACACATGGACACGGGAAGGGGAGCACTACACACTGGGGTCCACTGGGGGGAAATGGGGGAGGGACGGGGGGTGGGGAGGTGGGGAGAGATAGCATGGGGAGAAATGACAGATATAGGTGAGGGGGAGGAAGGCAGCAAATCACACTGCCATGTGTGTACCTATGCAACAATCTTGCATGTTCTTTACATGTACCCCAAAACCTAAAATGCAATTAAAAAAAATTAAAAAAAATATGTGGTGTCCACTCACCCTCTGCGCTTTCACTGGGAGCTGCAATCCTGAGCTGTTCCTAAATGGCCATCTTGGATCTTCCCCCTGAAAAAATTTTTTGTAGAGATGAGGTGTCACTATGTTGCCCAGGCTGGGATTCTCTGACTCTTAATAAATAATTGATTTTTAAATCTTTCCCCACAGAAACCTTGAGTGACTGAACTATGAAATGGCAAGAGACTATTTAGTTTCTATTTTCTGTGGGATGTTGGTCATTGATGCTCAGGATCGGTATAAGTAAGATGCCTGTGTGAAGCATGCTCCCTGCTGCACTGTCAGTTTTCATGAGCCACTATTTCTAATAAGACCTGTAGATACGTGTAGGATATAATCATCTCTAATCATATCATATATTACATGTAAGTTTCACCTTTTTAGACATGAGTTGATAAGATTTGAGCTTCAAAGACCATGACGTTAGTACTTCTTGAGTAATCAACTGAAGTATGTTTTACATATGTGTTTTCCAGATTGCTGACTTAATTATAAGTGCTTCTGAATTTAAAGGAAGCACTTGATGTTTAGGAAGAAATTAACCTTTAAATTCCATGTGTCTACGCTTAGTCTATACAGAGTTGTAATTGGATGTAAGATGCAGAATCACCTTTAGGGTTCTGTTTTTAGTGCATTTTATAAAACCCAAGCTGTAGTGTCCTTTGTTTGCCTTTCGGGTCATCTAAATAATCTGTTGCTAAGTCACGTTCCCAACTGTTGTGTTTCTGTTTCAGGTGAAGGGCAATCACAGTGTTAAAAGAAGATACACGGAAATGATGCAGGCTGCTCCTATGTTGGAAATTTGTTCATTTAAGTTCTCTCAATAAAGCTTTATAGCCTTCTGCAAAGAAGTCTTAGGCATCTTTTGGGATTTTATTTCTAGGTATTCGATACTGTGAAATATGTTATCATTCTTTGAAATTTTATATCCTGTTTGAACCGGTATGTAGAGAGATAATTCTTATATATTGATTTTGTATCCAGCAATCTTGTTAAATATGCTTATGAATTCTTAAAGTTTACTTTGAGATTGTTTTCAGTATTCAACATACAGAATGATATAATATTTGAATAAGAAAAATTTTGTTTCTGCCATTTTTTTATTTCCTTTTGTACTTTTTGTGGAGACCTGGTTTTGTTATATTTCCCAGGCTCTTTTTGAACTATTGAGTGCAAGTGATCCACCCGCCTCAGCCTCCCAAAGTGCTTGGATTACAGGCATGTGCCACTGGGCACATTGCTGCCATTTTGAACACTTTTCATTTCCTTTTCTGATTTTATGGCATTGGGCAGACCCACCTGGTACAATGGTGATAGTGGACATCCTTGTCTTAACCCTGATGAGAAATGGAAACATTTCAACATTTCACCATAGTATTTACTGTACTTTTTTTTGTAGATGGACTCTATCAGAGTAAGTCATTCCATTCTGTTCTACTTTGCTGATTCATTTTGAATATATGTTGAGTTTCATCAAACAATGCATCTATTTTGATTACTACAGCATTTTTCCCATTAATCTGTTAATGTAATGAATTAGATTGATAAATTTGTACTTTTTTATATTGTATATTTAAAAATTGAGATAGGGTCTCACTCTGTCACACAGGCTGGAGTGCAGTGGTGGTATCACAGCTCACTGCAGCCTTGACCTCCTAGGCTCAAGTGGTCCTCCCACCTCAGCCTCCTGAGTAGCCGTGACTACAGGTACATCACACCATGCCCAGCTAATGTTTCTCATTTTTTTTGTAGTGATGAGACTTTGTCATGTTGCTTAGGCTGGTCTTGAACTCCTGAGCTCAGGTGATCTGCCCAGCTCTGCCTCCTAAAATACTAGGATTTCAGGCATGAGCCTTGACCTGGCCAGGTTTTTCTTATATTGGGGTCTTAGACTAACCTTTGTGCAGGTGGGCTAACAGCGTAATGAAATTTATCATTCAATTGATTTAAAGAAAACTATCCTTGACTTTCCAGTGTGTAAGTACGTGAAAGCATGATTTTTTTTTTTTTTTTTTTTTTTTTATATTCCAATACCAGTGATACACAACCAACATTTAAACGGTTTTTTTTTTTTTTTTTTTTTTTCCTTCCTTTTTTTTTTTTATTGCATTTTAGGTTTTGGGGTACATGTGATGAACTTGCAAGATTGTTGCATAGGTACACACATGGCAGTGTGCTTTGCTGCCTTCCGTCCCCTCACCTGTATCTGTCATTTCTCCCCATGCTATCTCTTCCCACCTCCCCACCCCCCGCCCCTCCCCCATTTCCCCCCAACGGACCCCAGTGTGTAGTGCTCCCCTCCCTGTGTCCATGTGTTCTCATTGTTCAACACCCGCCTATGAGCGAGAATATACGGTGTTTGATTTTCTGCTCTTGTGTCAGTTTGCTGAGAATGATGGTTTCCAGGTTCATCCATGTCCCTACAAAGGACGTGAACTCATCGTTTTTGATGGCTGCATAATATTCCATGGTGTATATGTACCACATTTTCCCTATCCAGTCTATCATCGTTGGGCATTTGGGTTGGTTCCAGGTCTTTGCTATTGTAAACAGTGCTGCAATGAACATTCGTGTGCACGTGTCCTTGTAGTAGAATGATTTATAATCCTTTGGATATATACCCAGTAATGGGATTGCTGGGTCAAATGGGATTTCTATTTTTAGGTCCTTGAGGAATCGCCACACTGTCTTCCACAATGGTTGAATTAATTTACATTCCCACCAACAGTGTAAAAGTGTTCCTATTTCTCCACATCCTCTCCAGCATCTGTTGTTTCCCGATTTTTTAATGATCGCCATTCTAACTGGTGTGAGATGGTATCTCAATGTGGTTTTGATTTGCATTTCTCTGATGACCAGTGATGATGAGCATTTTTTCATATGTTTGTTGGCCTCCTGTATGTCTTCTTTTGTAAAGTATCTGTTCATATCCTTTGCCCATTTTTGAATGGGCTTGTTTGTTTTTTTCTTGTAGAAAAGCATGATTTTTAAAGCATATATTGCTATGGGTGTTGGGACCCCTGCATTTTCTGATGCTGTGGGAGCATGTCCTTGTAGGTACCTTTAGTCTGTTTTCTTACTACAAACGTGTTAAGGCCATGGGTTGTGACTGATAAGGAATGCATCTTGCTAATTTCAAGATGGAGTTCATTTTCAAATGGTGTCAGTTTAGCTGTCCTAGGCTTCTGTTTCCCTAATACTGTCACTTCTCATTCTGTAATTCTGATGCTATAAATAATGTTTTAGTATTTTCTTACAGGTCCTTGAAGTCGTATTCGTTCTTTGTCTCTTTCTCTGACTTGTTCATGTTGAACAATTTCTTTTTGGGGTAGGTTGCTATTCTGTTTTAGCAGGTCGTCTACGTGTCTTCCCAGGCAGTCACCATGGTCCTTGTCCCCATGATGGGGCCAGGGCAAGAGAGGGCCCTGGAGGGGAGAGGAGCTCAGTTGAAGATGGAGTGAGTTTTGAGGGGGGCACTATTTAAAGTATATGAGTCCCAGAGGCATAGGAAACAGCAGCGGGAGGTGGGATTCCATTATCCTCAGTGGGGATGGGAATGGGGGGTTTGGAGTGTGTTGCTGGTAACGGCAGCCCTCCCCGTTTCACCCACAGCTGCGCATGCTCCTTCTCGCCTCGGTGCGCATGTTCACTGGTCGTCTTCAGGTCAGCCCCTTCGCCTACGTGGAGAACGCCAGGGAGCTGTGAGGGTCTGTGGTCACGTTCCTGCCTCTGGACTCTTTTTTTCCTCTCCTTAGACTCATCTGGTAGGTCCACAGGCCAGTCCTTCTGGGGGCTGAAGTTTGAGTGAGGGCGAGGAAGAGGCGGTGGGCTTTGGGCGGGTCCACGGGTTTCAGTGCCTGGTCTGTGACCTCTGAGGGAGAAGTGCCACCTGACCTTCAAGCGTGGGGCCCTGAGGTCGCCCTACTTTAACTCACAGGCTTTGTGGTCGTGAAGGGCCCAGGACAGAGAGGAAGGTGGGCCATGGAGGGGAGGCAGTCAGGGGCTCAGGTGAAGATGGGGCAAATGCTGGGGGTGATGTTGGAGGGATGGAAGTCCCGAGGTGCTGGGAACCCCTGACACAGGGCACCTTCCTGAGTCCTGAATGGGGCGCTCGATCGGGGGCAAGGTGGGCGGTAAAGAAGGGGCCTGGAAACTGGGAAAGCCGAAGGCTGGTGAGCGCCCCCCAGCAGTATGGGGTGAGTAGTAACCCAGTGAGAAGCATTGCTAGGTCTCGCCTTTGCCATGCAGGGTCAGGAAACAATGGGAAAGACTGGGTGAGGCTCTGTAGTCCAGCCAAACTTGATTTGTTGGGGGTGAATGGCTCTAGTAAGTGGGAGTGTGCCAAAAGCAGCGGTCACAGGAATTATGATTAACTAGTGTATTCATGTGAAGTCAACTTGTGAAACTGAACCTCATGAGAAATGTCCTCTGTCAGCAAGGCCCAGTGGCATGTACCTGTAGTCCAGTTACTCAGTTACTCAGTCCAAGTTACTCAGGACACTAAGACGGGAGGATCCCTTGAGCGGGAGGTCGAGGCTGCAGTGAGCATGCTGCTGCACCCCAGCCTGAGCAACAGAGTGAGGCCTTGTGTCCAAAAGAAATTTAGAAAAAAATGTCCTCTGCCTTTTGCCACATGCCTTTAGAAGATTGCTCTGCCAGCTTGTCTTGCATAAATGGCTTTGCATGCACTCAGAAAAGGTACACATGTATGCTTAGCTCTGGGACTTATTTTGGGAATATTTTCCAAATTAAAATGACAAGTTAACATTTAGCCATGGAAGTGATCGAATATAGCTGTCCTCTCAAGTGCATGTTCCCAGTCACCGTTTTCTGTTTTCAGTGTGAAATATGAGTTGGTGAGGAAGATCAACCTATTGGCCTAGACCAAGACGCTATGTAGAATGTCCTGAGGTGAGTGGGCCTATGCTGGTGAGTGCTTTAATGTTAATCTGATGTTTTCTATTAGCAGAAGTTATTTTTTGTGATAGTGTTTTTGCATCAGTATATAGACACTGATAAAGGTCTTCATGCTGATAAAAAATGATTATGGTGTCTCATGAAGGAAACATTGATTCAGGAGGATTTTGTTTTTCTCTTGTGTTTTTCAGGTTTCGCACATTACTTCTTTCTCATGCTTTGCTTGTTAATGACAGATTGTACACATCTATTCTAACACAAAGTATAATAGCTTCTGAAGTCTTTGTTGCTTACTTTATTCAGAGTAACTTTCCTGTGGTAGAGTAACCTCATTAAGCATACAGAATAGAGTTGGAGAAACGTCTTTAGGCTTAGTTGTGATCAGAAATATCTATGTATTCTGTGTGCATATATTAATAACAAAACTTTTTTTTATTTGCATGTGCGCGTGCACAAACACACACACACACACATTCTCTCTGGCCCGAGCAGTTCAGTGATGAAGAAGTGGAAACACCAAAACCTGAAGAAGGGGAACCAGCAACTCAAAGTCAGGTTCCTGCACCTGCTCAGGAGGGAGAGGATGAGGGAGCATCTGCAGGTCAAGGTGAAGGGAAAGAGAAGAACAATGCCTGTTGTTGTGTGTGTGCATGCATGTGTCTCATGCATTATCATATAGTAGGAACAGGAGGAAAGAAAACAATGGAAAGAATGCCTAAAATTGACTGGAAAAGTGAGGAGGGTATATAGTTTGCAGCTTAGCTTAGGGAAACCCCTCACTATGATGAAATATGTCCACTTTATGAATGAGAGAATGGAGGCTCAGGGACTTGGTGAATACAGAATTTGTATTTTGTTTCAAAGTTTGTGTCTTCCTACTATCTATGTTGCTTTAAAAAAAAGTAAATGATTTTGCCGAAAGTGCTTATAA